CATTGAAAATAAAAATGACGTCATGTGCAAACAGACTATAAATTTATACATTTAAAAATAATATGTAAAAAACTCGATACAATAGTTAAACTTAATTTCTTTGTATTTAATATTTTCACCTTTACATTTGAGTATGACATGTCTTAATAAAGTTTCGCTTATCCAATTTTAGAGATATTGTTCTTGTCTTGCTCAAAAACTAATGTAACGAATACGTAAATTATTGTTAATCAAGTCAACTTAAAAGAATTGTGTATAATAAAGTTATGTAGGCTTTCGGAATAGAAGCTTACTTGCTTATTTTAAAGTATGTTCTTTGTACTATAATGAACGGGAATACAACAATGTCCTAATATTTCTTTTTTTTATTTTTGAAGTGGATAATATTTTTTCATCTTTTACTCATGTGCTATAATAAAATGCTTCTATCGAAACTTTTAGATTTAGCATATTTTGTTTATGAGGGAGAAAGTGAAAGGAACGTATAAAAATATCAACAACTTATTTTGTTTCTTAAAAGTTTTCAAGACATACATACACATTATTTAAAAATGATACACTTAACAGTGTCTAAATTTATTTCATGATGTTCTTTCTAATATTTTCTTATAGAATTTCGTACAGACAGATGCTCGGAAATGGCCGTTGGCAAATATCCAAAATATTTTCTAAATAGAATTCCTCACACTAGACTATTTATATTTGATGAGTGTACTAAAAAAACAAAGTTCATACATAAGTCTAACAACCAACGAGAATTTCATGGTCACAACTATAAATATGTGTGTACAATACATGTGTAATTTCAATTACGATTCATGAAAGCATACAGGTATGTATATGTATGTATAATTTAGGTGAGTGAGTGTGCCTTTAACTGAGAAAAAAATTGCATTAAACATATTCAATTCTCGAAAAGCGATTATAATATTCATACCTGTATGTTTTCGAGCGTGAAAATTATGAATCAAGAAGATAATCTACAAACATAATTTAGTCACAATGGAGTAAGAATACATTTTTTCTCTGAATGAAATATTAAAATGAATATCTAAGTATCCCAAAATAAGTTTCGCTTTAAATATATTATAATCGAAAGCGAATATATTATATACAAGCGAAATGGAAACGTGGAAATAAGAGTATAAAGAAATGTAAATAAACTCCTTACATATGTATGTAAGTCCTTCCAGAATAGGAATTTAAGCACTATTCTAATCTCGATATTTTTATCATATAAAAGCGTTTTAATTGTAATTTAGTAGCCACGACTACTGATGAGTACATATTGACGAGTGTGTACCTAATTAAACTAAATGCTTTAAAAAAGAATGTTGGATACATACTATATGTACATTTAAATGTAAATTTTCCCATATGCTATAGTAATTTTATAAATTGTACTATCATATAGTATTTTCTTTCAGTTTCGTTTAATTACACACAAGCAAACAAAATATAAAAATATACCTGGTAATACAACGGACTGTATCTGTCCCCAATATTGGTGCTATACTTGTCATTGGGGGGCTGAAAAATTGTATTTTTTTAAGTATATATACATATATATGTATGAAAGATTGTATTACATACAAATACATATTTTCACAGAGTTATGTTGTCATTAACTTAATAATATATATATATGGCATGCATTTTAAAGCGCGGAACAATAGGTATTTCTACTTATGAGAATACAATTTAGCTTCGATGATATTGCCTCCCACTAACATCAAGAACAATTAAAACACAATAATCATCCGATTAGAAAGTAATTTCGATTGATTAGTTTGAAAGGTGTTTATTAACTGAGGTAATACAAATAAACAATAAAGCAGCATGTCATAATTGTATTACATTTAATTAACTCTTTAGTTGCAATGCACAAAAATATTAATTTGGTAATTATGGATACACATTACCATGTGTGGAATACACATCAATGTTAAAGCTTCCAATAAAGATATAAAAATATGTTAGCAATATTCATTCTGGAAATGTTAATTGGTTATTTTGTTGGCGACATTTTTGTTTATTAAAAATT